GATGGAAGGAAGGATGGATGGAAGGAAGGAAGGAAGAAAGGAAGGATGGATGGAAATCAATCTTGGGGGCTATGGTAGCGTAAGACCATCAGAATCTGAATGGATGAAGGACTGGATGAATGAGTGAGTGAATTAATGAGTGAATAACTGGATGAATGAAGTGAATGAATGAGTGGATGAATGCGAGGCTCCCTGTGTTTGGGTTCTCCAGCACCAGAAGCTGGACCTGCTGATGTTCCATCAATGCTTCCTGGCTGAAGCTCCTCCCTCAGCTTCAGCCAGGAAGCAGCAGCCGGTCGCTCAGTGACAAACAGTCATGAGGATCAGATCAGCTCAGCCTGTTTTCAATAGATGCTGACTCAGCAGATTCAGCCTTTCATACACAGAAGCTCCATTGTTATGCATGACTCAGCTGTTTCTCACTGGGTTTCTGCATGTATTCCTGCGTTAGCGACCCACTGACCCGTATGGTGGCGAGTCCCTGTGGGTCTGAGTGGATCCAGTCTGCAGGACTCGTCCAGCACGTGCTCTGCTCCTCATGTGGCTTCCTGTCAGTCAGCTGCTTCTATCATCAGCCGCGTCTCCTGATCATCCTGATGATTCTATAGAAAGTCAGCAGCTTTCTGTGAGGAAAGATCAGCCGTCTGGCAGCGCCGGGGTCACTGACCTTTTAGCTCCGCCCCCTGATGCTCTACATCAGACGCTCCAGAACATAGTGGCTGCTGTCTCTGTCCCAGAGGACCTGTCTCTGTCCCAGAGGACCTGACTGTCCCAGAGGACCTGTCTCTGTCCCAGAGGACCTGTCTCTGTCCCAGAGGACCTGTCTGTCCCAGAGGACCTGACTGTCCCAGAGGACCTGTCTCTGTCCCAGAGGACCTGTCTCTGTCCCAGAGGACCTGACTCAGTCCCAGAGGACCTGTCTGTCCCAGAGGACCTGTCTCTGTCCTAGAGGACCTGTCTCTGTCCCAGAGGACCTGTCTCTGTCCCAGAGGACCTGTCTCTGTCCCAGAGGACCTGACTGTCCCAGAGGACCTGTCTCTGTCCCAGAGGACCTGACTCAGTCCCAGAGGACCTGTCTGTCCCAGAGGACCTGTCTCTGTCCCAGAGGACCTGTCTCTGTCCTAGAGGACCTGTCTCTGTCCCAGAGGACCTGTCTGTCCCAGAGGACCTGTCTCTGTCCTAGAGGACCTGACTCTGTCCCAGAGGACCTGTCTCTGTCCCAGAGGACCTGTCTCTGTCCTAGAGGACCTGTCTCTGTCCCAGAGGACCTGTCTCTGTCCCAGAGGACCTGTCTGTCCCAGAGGACCTGTCTCAGTCCAAGAGGACCTGTCTCTGTCCCAGAGGACCTGTCTCAGTCCAAGAGGACCTGTCTCTGTCCCAGAGGACCTGTCTCTGTCCTAGAGGACCTGTCTCTGTCCCAGAGGACCTGTCTGTCCCAGAGGACCTGTCTCTGTCCTAGAGGACCTGACTCTGTCCCAGAGGACCTGTCTCTGTCCCAGAGGACCTGTCTCTGTCCTAGAGGACCTGACTGTCCCAGAGGACCTGACTCAGTCCCAGAGGACTTGACTCAGTCCCAGAGGACCTGTCTGTCCCAGAGGACCTGTCTCTGGCCCAGAGGACCTGTCTCTGTCCCAGAGGACCTGTCTCTGTCCTAGAGGACCTGTCTCTGTCCCAGAGGACCTGTCTGTCCCAGAGGACCTGTCTCAGTCCAAGAGGACCTGTCTCTGTCCCAGAGGACCTGTCTCAGTCCAAGAGGACCTGTCTCTGTCCCAGAGGACCTGTCTCTGTCCCAGAGGACTTGACTCAGTCCCAGAGGACCTGACTGTCCCAGAGGACCTGACTCAGTCCCAGAGGACTTGACTCAGTCCCAGAGGACCTGTCTGTCCCAGAGGACCTGACTCAGTCCCAGAGGACCTGTCTGTCCCAGAGGACCTGTCTCTGTCCCAGAGGACCTGTCTCTGTCCTAGAGGACCTGTCTCTGTCCCAGAGGACCTGTCTGTCCCAGAGGACCTGTCTCTGTCCTAGAGGACCTGACTGTCCCAGAGGACCTGACTCAGTCCCAGAGGACTTGACTCAGTCCCAGAGGACCTGTCTCTGTCCCAGAGGACCTGTCTCTGTCCCAGAGGACCTGTCTCTGTCCCAGAGGACCTGACTCAGTCCCAGAGGACCTGTCTGTCCCAGAGGACCTGTCTCTGTCCCAGAGGACCTGTCTCTGTCCTAGAGGACCTGTCTCTGTCCCAGAGGACCTGTCTGTCCCAGAGGACCTGTCTCTGTCCTAGAGGACCTGACTCTGTCCCAGAGGACCTGTCTCTGTCCCAGAGGACCTGTCTCTGTCCTAGAGGACCTGACTGTCCCAGAGGACCTGACTCAGTCCCAGAGGACTTGACTCAGTCCCAGAGGACCTGTCTGTCCCAGAGGACCTGACTCAGTCCCAGAGGACCTGTCTGTCCCAGAGGACCTGTCTCTGGCCCAGAGGACCTGTCTCTGTCCCAGAGGACCTGTCTGTCCCAGAGGACCTGTCTCAGTCCAAGAGGACCTGTCTCTGTCCCAGAGGACCTGTCTCTGTCCCAGAGGACCTGTCTCAGTCCAAGAGGACCTGTCTCTGTCCTAGAGGACCTGTCTCTGTCCCAGAGGACCTGACTGTCCCAGAGGACCTGTCTCTGTCCTAGAGGACCTGACTGTCCCAGAGGACCTGACTCAGTCCCAGAGGACTTGACTCAGTCCCAGAGGACCTGTCTGTCCCAGAGGACCTGACTCAGTCCCAGAGGACCTGACTGTCCCAGAGGACCTGTCTCTGTCCCAGAGGACCTGACTGTCCCAGAGGACCTGTCTCTGTCCTAGAGGACCTGACTGTCCCAGAGGACCTTACTCAGTCCCAGAGGACCTGACTGTCCCAGAGGACCTGTCTCTGTCCTAGAGGACCTGACTGTCCCAGAGGACCTGACTCAGTCCCAGAGGACTTGACTCAGTCCCAGAGGACCTGTCTGTCCCAGAGGACCTGACTCAGTCCCAGAGGACCTGACTCAGTCCCAGAGGACCTGTCTGTCCCAGAGGACCTGTCTCTGTCCCAGAGGACCTGTCTCAGTCCAAGAGGACCTGTCTCTGTCCCAGAGGACCTGTCTCTGTCCCAGAGGACCTGTCTGTCCCAGAGGACCTGACTGTACCAGAGGACCTGTCTCAGTCCCAGAGGACCTGACTCAGTCCCAGAGGACCTGTCTTTCCCAGAGGACCTGTCTCTGTCCTAGAGGACCTGTCTCTGTCCCAGAGGACCTGTCTGTCCCAGAGGACCTGACTCAGTCCCAGAGGACCTGACTCTGTCCCAGAGGACCTGTCTCTGTCCCAGAGGACCTGACTCAGTCCCAGAGGACCTGTCTGTCCCAGAGGACCTGTCTCTGTCCCAGAGGACCTGTCTCTGTCCTAGAGGACTTGTCTCTGTCCCAGAGGACCTGTCTGTCCCAGAGGACCTGTCTCAGTCCAAGAGGACCTGACTCTGTCCCAGATGACCTGTCTCTGTCCCAGAGGACCTGTCTCAGTCCAAGAGGACCTGTCTCTGTCCTAGAGGACCTGTCTCTGTCCCAGAGGACCTGTCTCTGTCCCAGAGGACCTGTCTGTCCCAGAGGACCTGTCTCTGTCCCAGAGGACCTGTCTCAGTCCAAGAGGACCTGACTCAGTCCTAGAGGACCTGTCTCTGTCCCAGAGGACCTGTCTGTCCCAGAGGACCTGTCTCAGTCCCAGAAAACCTGTCTCTGTCCCAGAGGACCTGTCTGTCCCAGAGGACTTGTCTCTGTCCTAGAGGACCTGTCTGTCCCAGAGGACCTGTCTCTGTCCCAGAGGACCTGTCTCAGTCCAAGAGGACCTGTCTCAGTCCCAGAAAACCTGTCTCTGTCCCAGAGGACCTGTCTGTCCCAGAGGACCTCTCTCTGTCCCAGAGGACCTGTCTCAGTCCAAGAGGACCTGTCTCAGTCCCAGAAAACCTGTCTCTGTCCCAGAGGACCTGTCTGTCCCAGAGGACTTGTCTCTGTCCTAGAGGACCGGTTTCCTAAGAGGAACCTGCAACCTGAAGCGGGTGAAGCAGGTGAAGCAGGTAAAGCAGGTGAAGGTGCACCTGGATCAGTACCTGCCCTGAAACGGCGTCTCTGCTGGATGGAAACCCTTCTCCTGTGACGGTGACGTCATCAGCTGCTCCTCCCAGAGAAGCTGGAAGTCTGGCAGTAAACGGAGGAACAGCGCCCCCTGCAGACAGAACTGAACCCACACGGCTGTAGAAAAGTATCCCATCCCTTCAGATTCCATGTTCTGATATTTCTCTGCTGTTATTAACTCAGGATTCATTGGATCCTCTGAAACATTTTTAGGGACGTTTCTAAAACCAGCTGACAGTGAAGGTTAGAGTTGTACCGGCTGGATCAGTCAGATCTATCTCTGAGGACCTAAAATAAATCTGAATCTTTTTTCTTAATAGAAATGCCCCAGCTTCCTAACTCCACAACCGTTGTCAGGGCAACCATGATGTTCTACATGGCATGAAGCAGGACCCGAGCGGATCTGGTATCTACAGCGGTTCTCTGGACCTCCGTCCTGCAGAACCGAAGCTGAAATCCTGGACGTTCTTCCAGGATCCGTCCCACAGAGACCCTCTGCTCCAGGCAGGTCTGCTGGAGGAGTTTCCTGTTCTTCTCTCCATGTGTGGATAAAGGTTCCACCTGTGCTTCTCCACAGACCCGACCTTACCTGGACCCGACCTGCTGTTCTGTGCCTCCTTCATGCTGTGGGACGGGTTCTGTTGAAGTGATAACCTGGATTCTTTGGGTCCGACTCCAATAAACAAAAGAAGGTTTCATTTGAAAGCAGTTCTTCCTCCTCTTCCTCAGTCCGCTCTGCTTACGGACCGGAACCAGAACTCTGTGGTTCTGGAGGTGAAGCCAAGCTCAGGGTCTCAGGCTGATGGAGAGCGACCCCTGCTGGCCGGAATAGAAACCACTCCAATCAAATCAAAACCGTTTAGTTGAAGATCGGTTTTATTCTAAAACTTCCTGAAGCTGAAAGGAATCACAGCACAGACATCCCATAATCCCCCATAATCCCCCTGAAGGGCCCGGTCTGACCGCTGAGGAGCAGCTCCCAACACAGCCGCTGGGATTCAGAACGCGCTCGCTGGGACTCCATTTCCCAAGATGCTCTGCTCCAAGCAGCACGGTCTCTTCTGAGGACAGAAATGTTCCTACAGATGGAGCCCCGGTCTGGGACCTGATGACGCCCCGCCTCCTCCTCCACCTCCGCCTCCTCCTCCGCCGCCGCCTCCTCCTTCTCCTCCTCCTCAGAGATCATTTCTGCAGCTCCAGCGGCGTGCTGAACGTCTCGTACACGTTGGCTGCAAACTCCTTCACCTGGTCGTTCAGCAGAAGTTCCTACAGGGAGCAGAAGAAGAAGGAGCACCTTTCAGGAGAGGAGGGGGACAGGGGAGGGGGACAGGGGAGCGGGACAGGGGAGGGGGACAGGGGAGGGGGACAGGGGAGCGGGACAGGGGAGGGGGACAGGGGAGCGGGACAGGGGAGCGGGACAGGGGAGGGGGACAGGGGAGCGGGACAGGGGAGGGGGACAGGGGAGGGGGACAGGGGAGCGGGACAGGGGAGGGGGACAGGGGAGCGGGACAGGGGAGGGGGACAGGGGAGGGGGACAGGGGAGGGGGACAGGGGAGGGGGACAGGGGAGCGGGACAGGGAAGGGGGACAGGGGAGGGGGACAGGGGAGCGGGACAGGGGAGGGGGACAGGGGAGGGGGACAGGGGAGGGGGACAGGGGAGGGGGACAGGGGAGGGGGACAGGGAAGGGGGACAGGGGAGGGGGACAGGGGAGCGGGACAGGGGAGGGGGACAGGGGAGGGGGACAGGGGAGGGGGACAGGGGAGCGGGACAGGGAAGGGGGACAGGGGAGGGGGACAGGGGAGCGGGACAGGGGAGGGGGACAGGGGAGGGGGACAGGGGAGGGGGACAGGGGAGCGGGACAGGGGAGGGGGACAGGGGAGGGGGACAGGGGAGGGGGACAGGGGAGCGGGACAGGGGAGGGGGACAGGGGAGGGGGACAGGGGAGCGGGACAGGGGAGGGGGACAGGGGAGGGGGACAGGGGAGCGGGACAGGGGAGGGGGACAGGGGAGGGGGACAGGGAAGGGGGACAGGGGAGCGGGACAGGGGAGGGGGACAGGGGAGGGGGACAGGGGAGCGGGACAGGGGAGGGGGACAGGGGAGGGGGACAGGGGAGGGGGACAGGGGAGCGGGACAGGGGAGGGGGACAGGGGAGGGGGACAGGGAAGGGGGACAGGGGAGCGGGACAGGGGAGGGGGACAGGGGAGGGGGACAGGGGAGGGGGACAGGGGAGCGGGACAGGGGAGGGGGACAGGGGAGGGGGACAGGGAAGGGGGACAGGGGAGCGGGACAGGGGAGGGGGACAGGGGAGGGGGACAGGGGAGGGGGACAGGGGAGCGGGACAGGGGAGGGGGACAGGGGAGGGGGACAGGGGAGCGGGACAGGGGAGGGGGACAGGGGAGGGGGACAGGGGAGGGGGACAGGGGAGGGGGACAGGGGAGGGGGACAGGGGAGGGGGACAGGGGAGGGGGACAGGGGAGGGGGACAGGGGAGCGGGACAGGGGAGGGGGACAGGGGAGGGGGACAGGGGAGCGGGACAGGGGAGCGGGACAGGGGAGGGGGACAGGGGAGCGGGACAGGGGAGCGGGACAGGGGAGCGGGACAGGGGAGGGGGACAGGGGAGCGGGACAGGGGAGGGGGACAGGGGAGGGGGACAGGGGAGGGGGACAGGGGAGCGGGACAGGGGAGGGGGACAGGGGAGCGGGACAGGGGAGGAGCCCCGCGAGGCCAGTAGGAGGTTTAAAGGAGCGGAGGCGGACGCTACCTGAACCAGGAGGCTGGGAGTCTCACTGCAGACGGTGTTTATCTGGCCGTTGATGATGGGGATGATCTTAGCCAGCGGCAGACTGACGGCGGACAGGCTGGGGAGACATGATGACATCATCAGCACAGACACACCCCTTCAATTCTGCCTAGCAACAAACTCCTTCAGCTCTCAGAGGGAAGATGGAGACGCTCAGAGGGAACGCTGCAATGATCTGATGAGGAGCTCTAAAACCTCCAGACCAGACTTTGACCTGTCTAACCTAAAGGAGGCAGAGCCAGGCTGCGTGTCAGTGGGAGACGTTACCTGTCCGGCCCAGAGGAGGCGGGGCGGTCCGCCGCAGGCAGGCGGAAGAACTCAGCCAGGTTGTCCAGGAGGCGGGAGAACGCCCGGTTCAGACACGTGCTCAGAACTTTGCTGAAATCTGGACTGAAGACGGAAACAAAGCTTAAACCTGCTGGACTCAGAGGACACGCGGCAGCGGGACGCCCCTACCTGTCCAACATGTCTCTGGTCTCATTCAACAGTCTGATGGTCACCACATCTTCTTCCGTCAGGCCGCACGCCTGCAGAGGACAGAAACAGGCAGAGTTAGGAGCCCAGGAGGACGTCCCACCGCAAGCCGGCGAGCGGCGTCCTCAGCCTGCAGCCACCTGGTCAGCCAGAGCGTCCTCAGCGTCCGCCAGCATGTAGGAGGACAGCGGACGGCCCGAGTCCACCTCCACCTCTGCTCGGATCCAGCTCAGCTGCTGCTCCAGCTCCAGCAGGGACAGACTCTGCTTCAGAGGCACCCTGGACAAGGACGGACAAGGACAGGACGGGAGAGGACAGGACAAGAAAAGGACAGGACATAATGTTCTCAGAGGACAGCAGGTTTTCTCCAGGTGAACTGAATGAGGACAGGTTGAGGTTTACCCCCCCAGGGAGTTCTGGACGGCCGCCTTCACCCTCCTGATCAGCTCCGTCAGACCTGCAGAGACACATGGAGACAGACGTCTGTGAGGACAGCGACCAGCAGGAAGTGGACTGAGGTCCTGGTGAAGCTCTCACCGTCTCCTAGAAGATACTGGATGCTGGACAGGTACTGCTGCTGGACGCCTGGAGGGGTCAGCAGAGTCTGGGGACAAACAAGGACACAACGTCTGTCCAGGTTCTACTGAACTCAGAGAGACTCTGGCTGATCTGAAGACTCCTTTCCTAGACTCAACTCTGGAAGGAAGGAAGGAAGGAAGGAAGGAAGGAAGGAAGGATGGAAGGGAGGATGGAAGGAAGGATGGAAGGAAGGAAGGAAGGAAGGAAGGATGGAAGGAAGGATGGAAGGAAGGAAGGAAGGAAGGAAGGATGGAAGGAAGGATGGAAGGAAGGAAGGAATGAAGGATGGAAGGAAGGATGGAAGGAAGGAAGGAAGGAAGGAAGGATGGATGGAAGGAAGGAAGGATGGATGGATGGAAGGAAGGAAGGAAGGATGGAAGGAAGGAAGGATGGAAGGAAGGAAGGAAGGAAGGAAGGCAGGAAGGAAGGAAGGAAGGATGGAAGGAATGAAGGATGGAAGGATGGATGGATGGATGGAAGGAAGGAAGGATGGATGGAAGGAAGGAAGGAAGGAAGGATGGAAGGAAGGATGGAAGGAAGGAAGGAAGGAAGGAAGGCAGGAAGGAAGGAAGGAAGGATGGAAGGAAGGATGGAAGGAAGGAAGGAAGGAAGGAAGGATGGATGGAAGGAAGGATGGAAGGAAGGAAGGATGGAAGGATGGAAGGAAGGAAGGAAGGATGGAAGGAAGGATGGAAGGAAGGAAGGAATGAAGGATGGAAGGAAGGAAGGAAGGAAGGATGGATGGATGGAAGGAAGGAAGGAAGGAAGGATGGATGGATGGAAGGAAGGAAGGAAGGATGGAAGGAAGGAATGATGGAAGGAAGGATGGAAGGATGGAAGGAAGGATGAAAGGATGGAAGGAAGGAAGGAAGGATGGAAGGAAGGAAGGAAGGAATGAAGGATGGATGGATGGAAGGATGGAAGGAAGGATGGAAGGATGGAAGGAAGGAAGGATGGAAGGAAGGATGGATGGATGGAAGGATGGTAGGAAGGAAGGAAGGAGAGAGAACCAGAGGAAGGAAGGAAGGATGGAAGGAAGGATGGAAGGAAGGAAGGAAGGAAGGACTGATGGAAGGAAGGATGGAAGGAAGGAAGGAATGAAGGATGGAAGGAAGGAAGAAGGAACAGGAATGCGGATGGAAGGAAGGATGAAGGAAGGATGGATGGATGGAGGAGTGGAAGGAAGGTAGGAAGGAAGGAGGATGGATCGGAAACAGGAGGAACGGAAGGAAGGAAGGAAGGATGAAGGAAGGATGGAAGGATGGAAGGAAGGATGGAAGTATGGAAGGAATGAAGAAGGATGGAAGTAAGGAAAAGGAAGGGAATGAAGGATGGATGGATGGAAGGATGGAAGGAAGGACTGGAAGGAAGGAAGGAAGGAAGGAAGGATGGAAGGAAGGATGGAAGGAAGGGATGGAAGGAAGGAAGGAACGGAGAGAGAAACAGAGGAAGGAAAGGAATTAGGAGGAAGGATGGAAGGAGGAAGGCGAAGGGAAGGGAAGGATGGAAGGAAGGATGGAAGAAAGGAAGGATGGGAAGGAAGATGTGAAGGAAGGATGGAAGAGAATGGATGGAGGCAAGTCAGGGGACGGTGGATAAGGAATGATGGAATGGAAACGAAGAAGGTTGGAAGGAAGGATGGAAGGAAAGGAAGGATGGAAGGAAGGTAAGGAAGGATGTGAAGGATGGTTGGAAGGAAGGATGGAAGGAAGGAAGGATGAAGGAAAGGAAGGAAGGAATCGATGGATGGAAGGAATGAAAGGTAAAGGAAGGAAGGATGGGAAGAGGATGGATGGCCAAGGATTGGAAGGAAGGATGGAAGGCAAGGAAGGGACAGGAAGGACTTGAAGGATGGAAGGAAGGAAAGGAGTGAGCAAGGATGGAAGGACAGGATTGGAAGGAATAGGATGGAAGGAAGGAAAGGACTGCGAAGGAAGGTAGGGCTGGTGAGAAGGAATGAAGGAAAGGATGGAAGGAAGGAAGGATGGAAGGAATGAAAGAGAGAGGATGGAAGGAAAGGAATGAAGGGTTGGACAGGAAGGAAGACAGGAAGGACCACGCCATGAAGGATGGAAGGAAAGGAAGGATGGAAGGGAAGGATGGATGGATGGAAGGTAAGGGTGGAAGGTTGGAAGGAAGGAAGGATGGAGGAGGAAGGAATGAAGGATGGATGGGCAAGGTTGGAAGGACGGATGGAAGGAAGGATGGAAGGAAGGATGGAAGGAAGATGGATGCGATGGAAGGATGGAAGAGAAGGAGAACGAGATAAACCTGAGGAAGGAAGGAAGAAGGTGGAAGGAAGGACGGAATGAAGGATGGATGAAGGAATGGAAGGAAGGATGGATGGAAGGAAGGGAAATCGGATGGATGTGATGGAAGGAAGGAATAGGCAAGGATTGGAAGGAAGGACTGGAATCGGAAAGGATGGAAGGATGGAAGGAAGGGGATGGATGGAACGGAAGGAAGGACAGGAAGGATGGATGGTAGGAAAAGGATGGACAGGAAGGCATGGAAGAACGGAAGGAAGGATGGACAGGAAGGAATGGATGGACTGGAAGGATGGAAGAGGAATGAAGGAGAGGAGAGAACCAAGAGGAAGGAAGCGAGGATGGAACGGAAGGAAGGCAAGGGATGGTAGGGATCGGATGGAAGGAAGGAAGGAAGGATGGAAGGAAGGAAGCGCATGGAAGGAAGGATGGAATGGATGGAAGGAAGGATGGAAGGAAGGAAGGAAAGGATTGCAAGGATGGATCGGAAGGAAGGATGGAAGGAAGGTTGGAAGGATAGGAGGGAAGGATGGTAGGAAAGGATGGATGGAAGGAAGGAAGGAAGGATGGACAAGGAACGAGGAAGGATGGACAGGAAGGTTGGAAGGAAGGAAAGATGGAGAGGAAGGAAGGAGAGGACGGATGGAAGGAAGGAAGGATGGAAGGAAGGAAGGAATGAAGGATGGAAGAAGGATGGAAGGAAGGCTATGGATGGAAGATTGATGGGAAGGAAGGAAAGATGGTAGGAAGAAGGGAGGGAGGGAAGGATTGAAGGAAGGTAGGAATGACAGGATGGATAGGGACTGGAAGGAAGGATGGAGGATGGAAGAAACGGATGGAAGGATGGATGGACCACGGAAGGATGGGAAGCGATGGAAGGAAAGGAAGGGTGGAAGGATGGCTCAGGAGAGGGAAGGAAATGGAAGAATGAAAGATGGAAGGATGGAAAGGAATGAAGGATGGAGAGAAGGAAGAACGGATGGAAGGATGGAAGGAAGGTGCGAAGGAGGGAAGGAATGAAGGGACATGGCATGGATGGAAGGATGGAAAGCAAGGATGCGAAGGAGAAGGGTAGGAGGAAGGAAGGACAGGAAGGATGGAAGGATGAACGAAGGAAGGATGGAAGGTAAGGTGGAAGGAAGGAAGGAAAGTTGGAAGGTTGGAAGGACGGAAGGAAGCGACTGATGGAAGGAAGGATAAGGATGGAAGGAAGGATGGAAGTAAGGACTGTGTCAAAGGAGGAAGATGGATGAACGCGAGGAAGGATAGGAAGGAAAGACGGATGGCAAGGAAGGAAGGAAGGCTCTCGCGTTGGATGGATGAAGGATGGTAATGAAGGAAGGAAAGATGGAAGGAAGGAAGGAAGGAAGGATCGGAAAGGCAGGATGGAAGGAAGGAATGAAGCGATGCGCTCTCGCGAGGAAAGAGGAGGAGTGGAAGGATGGAAGGAAGGGATGGGGTGGTGAATGGATGGAAGGACAGGAAGGAATGAAGGAAGGGATGGAAGGAATGAAGGATGGACAGGAATGAAAGATGGAAGGATGGAAGGACTGGAAAGGATGGACCAGGAGGAAGAGGACAAGGATCCAAGAACACACGGCCAGGAATACAAGGAGAAAGAGGAAGGACGAGGGGAGGGAAGGAAAAGGAGGAGTGACCACCCCCGGAGGGGCAACCCCAACGGAACGCAAGGCATGCAGGATGATGGAAAGAAGGAAGGAAAGGAAGGACAGGCATGGAGAGGACAGGATGGAAGGATGGAAGGAAGGATGGAAGGAAGGAAGGAATGAAGGATGGATGGATGGATGGAAGGATGGAAGGAAGGATGGAAGGATGGAAGGAAGGAAGGAAGGAAGGATGGAAGGAAGGATGGATGGATGGATGGAAGGATGGAAGGAAGGAAGGAAGGTAGACTGAGATCCAGCACGGAAGGAAGAGGTAGGAAGAAGGATGGAAGGAAGGAAGGAAGGAAGGAAGGAAGCGATGGAAGAAGGTAGGAGGAAGGAATGAAGGATCGGATAGGAGGAAGAGAAGGAAGGAGGATGGATGGAGTTGGAAGGAAGGAAGGAAGGAAGATGGAAGGATTGAAGGATGAAGAAAGGAAGGAAGAAAGGAAAGGATGGAGGGTAAAGGAAAAGGGTGGAAGGAAAGGAAAGGAAGGAATGAAGGAAGGATGGAAGGAAGGAAGGATGGAAGGAATGAAGGATGGAAGGAAGGAAGGATGGAACGAAGGAAGGAAGGAAGGATGGAAGGAAGGAATGAAGGATGGAAGGAAGGAAGGATGGAAGGAAGGAATGAAGGATGGAAGGAAGGAAGGAAGGAAGGAAGGAAGGAAGGAAAGATGGAAGGAAGGAAGGAAGGAAGGATGGAAGGAAGGATGGAAGGAAGGATGGAAGGAAGGAATGAAGGATGGAAGGAAGGAAGGATGGAAGGATGGAAGGAAGGATGGAAGGAAGGATGGAAGGAAGGATGGAAGGAAGGAAGGATGGAAGGAAGGAAGGGTGGAAGGATGGAAGGAAGGAAGGAAGGAAGGAATGAAGGAAGGATGGAAGGAAGGAAGGATGGAAGGAATGAAAGATGGAAGGATGGAAGGAATGAAGGATGGAAGGAAGGAAGGAAGGAAGGAATGAAGGATGGAAGGATGGAAGGAATGAAGGATGGAACGAAGGAATGAAGGATGGAACGAAGGAAGGAAGGAAGGATGGAAGGAAGGAATGAAGGATGGAAGGAAGCAAGGATGGAAGGAATGAAGGATGGAAGGAAGGAAGGATGGAACGAAGGAAGGAAGGAAGGATGGAAGGAAGGAATGAAGGATGGAAGGAAGGAAGGAAGGAAGGAAGGAAGGAATGAAGGATGGAAGGAAGGAAGGATGGAAGGAAGGACACGATGGAGGAATGAGAGAGGAGCAGCAGCAGGGAGGACAGCTGAAGGAGCAGCTCCTCCTCTTCCTCACCGTCACGCTCTTCCCCACAGAGTTATCCAGGTACAGGTATCCCCCGATGATGTTCAGCTGGACCCTGAGCAGGACCACCAGCATGCAGGTGCTGTAGACGGCCACCATGGTCCGGGTGAAGCCTGCGGACAGAGGACCAGCTCAGGACAGAAGTCCAGCTCAGGACAGAAGACCAGCTCAGGACAGCGTCCCAGCAGCAGGACAGCGTCCCAGCTGCAGGGCAGCGTCCCAGCAGCAGGAAAGCGTCCCAGCAGCAGGAAAGCGTCCCAGCGCTGGTGTCCCAGCAGCAGGACAGCGTCCCAGCGCTGGTGTCCCAGCAGCAGGACAGCGTCCCAGCAGCAGGACAGTGTCCCAGCGCTGGTGTCCCAGCAGCAGGACAGGAAACTTACTGATGATCTTCAGGTCCTCCCAGATCTCCAGCTTGTTGGCCGGTCTGTTAAAGAAGGAGGAGAAATTGAGTCTGCAGGAGGTTCCACCATAAACCAGCAGCAGACCTCCCTGACGCTCCTCACTTTGTCTTCAGCAGAGCGGTCAGACTCTCCGAGTGGAGCTGGTTGATGATGGCGTCTCTGAGCGCAGGAAGCATGGACAGCACTGCAGGACAGAAAAGCAGTCAGGAAGGTTCCTCCCCGCTTCAGGAAGCCCTTCCTCCTCTCCTTACCGGTCATGTTGCACGTTCTCTGGTTGCTCTCAAAGTGGAACTGCCTCCTGGCCTGAGCGATGTACTCACTCGCCTCCCGCTCCTGCACCTCCTGGATCTTCTTCTGAGCATATTTGCCCAGGAAGTAAACTCCTGGTAGGAGAGCAGCAGCAGAGCAAAGCTTCAGAGGAACATTCGGAGCAAAATCAACAAAAACATGTTTTCTCTCCAGCAGAAGGAATCCGTGATAAAAACGACAAACTAAGCAGATCTACGTCCACCACAGGGAGACGCAGATAGAAATCTTCATCTAGATGCTCCAGGCTGTTAGCAACATAATGGATGTGCATCTGTGGTAAAGACAAGTGGGACAGAGGGTTCATTAACAGAAGGTGGACAGAAAACCTCAGGACGTCTCAGAGGGCCTTCAGCCGGCCGCTGAGGAACGCTCCAAAGGCAGGAGGAACGCCCCAAAGGCAGGAGGAACGCCACAAAGGCAGGAGGAACGCTCCAAAGGCAGGAGGAACGCTCCAAAGGCAGGAGGAACGCCACAAAGGCAGGAGGAACGCCACAAAGGCAGGAGGAACGCCACAAAGGCAGGAGGAACGCTCCAAAGGCAGGAGGAACGCTCCAAAGGCAGGAGGAACGCCCCAAAGGCAGGAGGAACGCCACAAAGGCAGGAGGAACGCTCCAAAGGCAGGAGGAACGCCACAAAGGCAGGAGGAACGCTCCAAAGGCAGGAGGAATGCTCCATAGGCAGGAGGAACGCCCCAAAGGCAGGAGGAACGCTCCAAAGGCAGGAGGAACGCCACCGAGGCAGGAGGAACGCTCCAAAGGCAGGAGGAACGCCCCAAAGGCAGGAGGAACGCCACAAAGGCAGGAGGAACGCCCCAAAGGCAGGAGGAACGCCACAAAGGCAGGAGGAACGCCACAAAGGCAGGAGGAACGCTCCAAAGGCAGGAGGAACGCTCCAAAGGCAGGAGGAACGCCACAAAGGCAGGAGGAACGCCACAAAGGCAGGAGGAACGCTCCAAAGGCAGGAGGAACGCTCCAAAGGCAGGAGGAACGCCACAAAGGCAGGAGGAACGCCCCAAAGGCAGGAGGAACGCCACAAAGGCAGGAGGAATGCTCCATAGGCAGGAGGAACGCTCCAAAGGCAGGAGGAACGCTCCAAAGGCAGGAGGAACGCCACAAAGGCAGGAGGAACGCTCCAAAGGCAGGAGGAACGCCACAAAGGCAGGAGGAACGCTCCAAAGGCAGGAGGAATGCTCCAAAGGCAGGAGGAACGCCACAAAGGCAGGAGGAACGCTCCAAAGGCAGGAGGAACGCCCCAAAGGCAGGAGGAATGCTCCATAGGCAGGAGGAACGCCCCAAAGGCAGGAGGAACGCCACAAAGGCAGGAGGAACGCCACAAAGGCAGGAGGAACGCCCCAAAGGCAGGAGGAACGCCACAAAGGCAGGAGGAACGCCACAAAGGCAGGAGGAACGCTCCAAAGGCAGGAGGAACGCCACAAAGGCAGGAGGAACGCTCCAAAGGCAGGAGGAACGCCCCAAAGGCAGGAGGAACGCCCCAAAGGCAGGAGGAACGCCCCAAAGGCAGGAGGAACGCCACAAAGGCAGGAGGAACGCTCCAAAGGCAGGAGGAACGCTCCAAAGGCAGGAGGAATGCTCCATAGGCAGGAGGAACGCCACAAAGGCAGGAGGAACGCTCCAAAGGCAGGAGGAATGCTCCAAAGGCAGGAGGAACGCCATTAAGGCAGGAGGAACGCCACAAAGGCAGGAGGAACGCTCCAAAGGCAGGAGGAACGCCACAAAGGCAGGAGGAACGCTCCAAAGGCAGGAGGAACGCTCCAAAGGCAGGAGGAACGCCACAAAGGCAGGAGGAACGCCCCAAAGGCAGGAGGAACGCCACAAAGGCAGGAGGAACGCTCCAAAGGCAGGAGGAACGCCACAAAGGCAGGAGGAACGCTCCAAAGGCAGGAGGAATGCTCCATAGGCAGGAGGAACGCCACAAAGGCAGGAGGAACGCCACAAAGGCAGGAGGAACGCCCCAAAGGCAGGAGGAACGCCACAAAGGCAGGAGGAACGCTCCAAAGGCAGGAGGAACGCTCCAAAGGCAGGAGGAACGCTCCAAACGCAGGAGGAACGCCACAAAGGCAGGAGGAACGCCACAAAGGCAGGAGGAACGCTCCAAAGGCAGGAGGAATGCTCCATAGGCAGGAGGAACGCCACAAAGGCAGGAGGAACGCCACAAAGGCAGGAGGAACGCTCCAAAGGCAGGAGGAACGCCACAAAGGCAGGAGGAACGCTCCAAAGGCAGGAGGAACGCTCCAAAGGCAGGAGGAATGCTCCATAGGCAGGAGGAACGCCACAAAGGCAGGAGGAACGCTCCAAAGGCAGGAGGAATGCTCCATAGGCAGGAGGAACGCCACAAAGGCAGGAGGAACGCCACAAAGGCAGGAGGAACGCTCCAAAGGCAGGAGGAACGCCCCAAAGGCAGGAGGAACGCCCCAAAGGCAGGAGGAACGCCACAAAGCCAGGAGGAACGCCACAAAGGCAGGAGGAACGCTCCAAAGGCAGGAGGAACGCCCCAAAGGCAGGAGGAACGCTCCAAAGGCAGGATGAACGCCACCGAGGCAGGAGGAACGCTCCAAAGGCAGGATGAACGCCACCGAGGCAGGAGGAACGCTCCAAAGGCAGGAGGAACGCTCCAAAGGCAGGAGGAACGCCACAAAGGCAGGAGGAACGCTCCAAAGGCAGGAGGAACGCTCCAAAGGCAGGAGGAATGCTCCATAGGCAGGAGGAACGCCACAAAGGCAGGAGGAACGCTCCAAAGGCAGGAGGAATGCTCCATAGGCAGGAGGAACGCCACAAAGGCAGGAGGAACGCCACAAAGGCAGGAGGAACGCTCCAAAGGCAGGAGGAACGCCACAAAGGCAGGAGGAACGCCACAAAGGCAGGAGGAACGCTCCAAAGGCAGGAGGAACGCCACAAAGGCAGGAGGAACGCCACAAAGGCAGGAGGAACGCTCCAAAGGAAGGAGGAACGCTCCAAAGGCAGGAGGAACACCACAAAGGCAGGAGGAACGCTCCAAAGGCAGGAGGAACGCCCCAAAGGCAGCAGGAACGCCACAAAGGCAGGAGGAACGCTCCAAAGGCAGGAGGAACGCTCCAAAGGCAGGAGGAACGCCACAAAGGCAGGAGGAACGCCACAAAGGCAGGAGGAACGCTCCAAAGGCAGGAGGAACGCTCCAAAGGCAGGAGGAACGCCACAAAGGCAGGAAGAACGCCACAAAGGCAGGAGGAACGCTCCAAAGGCAGGAGGAACGCTCCAAAGGCAGGAGGAACGCCCCAAAGGCAGGAGGAACGCTTCAAAGGCAGGAGGAACGCCACCGAGGCAGGAGGAACGCCACAAAGGCAGGAGGAACGCTCCAAAGGCAGGAGGAACGCTCCAAAGGCAGGAGGAACGCCACAAAGGCAGGAGGAACGCTCCAAAGGCAGGAGGAACGCCCCAAAGGCAGGAGGAACGCTCCAAAGGCAGGAGGAACGCCCCAAAGGCAGGAGGAACGCTCCAAAGGCAGGAGGAACGCCACCGAGGCAGGAGGAACGCTCCAAAGGCAGGAGGAACGCTCCAAAGGCAGGAGGAACGCCACAAAGGCAGGAGGAACGCTCCAAAGGCAGGAGGAACGCCACCGAGGCAGGAGGAACGCCACAAAGGCAGGAGGAACGCCACAAAGGCAGGAGGAACGCTCCATAGGCAGGAGGAACGTTCCAAAGGCAGGAGGAATGCTCCAAAGGCAGGAGGAACGCTCCAAAGGCAGGAGGAATGCTCCAAAGGCAGGAGGAACGCCCCAAAGGCAGGAGGAACGCTCCAAAGGCAGGAGGAACGCCACAAAGGCAGGAGGAATGCTCCAAAGGCAGGAGGAACGCCACAAAGGCAGGAGGAATGCTCCATAGGCAGGAGGAACGCCACAAAGGCAGGAGGAACGCCCCAAAGGCAGGAGGAACGCTCCAAAGGCAGGAGGAATGCTCCAAAGGCAGGAGGAACGCCCCAAAGGCAGGAGGAACGCCTCAAAGGCAGGAGGAATGCTCCAAAGGCAGGAGGAATGCTCCAAAGGCAGGAGGAACGCCACAAAGGCAGGAGGAACGCCCCAAAGGCAGGAGGAACGCCCCAAAGGCAGGAGGAATGCTCCATAGGCAGGAGGAACGCCACAAAGGCAGGAGGAACGCCCCAAAGGCAGGAGGAACGCTCCAAAGGCAGGAGGAATGCTCCAAAGGCAGGAGGAACGCTCCAAAGGCAGGAGGAACGCCACAAAGGCAGGAGGAATGCTCCAAAGGCAGGAGGAACGCCACAAAGGCAGGAGGAACGCTCCAAAGGCAGGAGGAACGCCCCAAAGGCAGGAGGAACGCCACAAAGGCAGGAGGAACGCCCCAAAGGCAGGAGGAACGCTCCAAAGGCAGGAGGAACGCCCCAAAGGCAGGAGGAACGCCCCAAAGGCAGGAGGAATGCTCCAAAGGCAGGAGGAACGCCCCAAAGGCAGGAGGAACGCTCCAAAGGCAGGAGGAACGCCCCAAAGGCAGGAGGAACGCCCCAAAGGCAGGAGGAACGCCACAAAGGCAGGAGGAACGCCCCAAAGGCAGGAGGAACGCCCCAAAGGCAGGAGGAACGCCACAAAGGCAGGAGGAACGCCCCAAAGGCAGGAGGAACGCTCCAAAGGCAGGAGGAACGCCCCAAAGGCAGGAGGAACGCCCCAAAGGCAGGAGGAACGCCACAAAGGCAGGAGGAACGCCACAAAGGCAGGAGGAATGCTCCAAAGGCAGGAGGAACGCCACAAAGGCAGGAGGAACGCCCCAAAGGCAGGAGGTTATCCAGCAGCATGGTCTGCGCTGTTATTCCACGCCAGAACGCCAGAGGGCCAATCAGGAACCAGCTGTGGGTCTAGATACGGCCGAGGAGGTGAGGAAGGGGGGGCAGTTTGTTCAACAACGGAGGGACATGAGGGCCAAAAAGAGCGGAGATCCAGGAGGAAAAAGGGTCCCAGCGCACCTCGCTCTGCTAGCTGCTCCATCTCCACCAGGCGTTTTCAAAAACACTAACTTGCCCAATAAAGGTTTAGAATTAATACTTAATTGCTATAGGAAAATAGTCGCATTATTATTATAATATTAACATCATCCATAAAACTATGGAAAGCAAATTAATCAACCTTGGTAGTTGGTAAAATGATGGAACCAGGAAGCTCCACTCAGAGGACAGACAGTGGAAGCCTCTGGATCAGCTGATCAGGAAGGCCAGCTCTGATTGGATGCCCTCTGGACTCAGTGCAGGAGGTGGGGAACAGATGAACCCCCCCCCCCCCCCCCCCCATGCTGGTTCAGCTGGTGCTGAACTGGACAGCTCCTTCAGTGACAGACTGCTGCACCTTAAATGCACCAGGGAGCGTTATCACAGATCCTTCCTCCCAGCAGCTGGAAGACTCTAGAACCACCACTGTTCCCAGTAACCTCAACCAGTTCTTCCATTCAGGCTGATTCTGCTCAGTTTCTACCTTAGTCAGTTAAATAACCTGCTGCTGTCATTCTGCACATCTCTGATGTTGCTGCTATTTTCAATTTACTGTAAAAATGTCCATAGCTGCATATTGGTTATTTATTCTCCAGTTTTATATTGTTAAAACACATTACAGGATTTTATTGTTTATATTATAACTCTTCACTATTATGTTATTCTTATACATTTTTCTAAGGTCCACATTTGTGTGACCATTTTTTCCTATAATCTTTTTGCTGCTTTAAACGCCAGTTTCCCCATTGAGGGGCAATAAATGGATTTTCTATTCTATTCACTTCTAGTTTCTGATTTTAACTTTTAGAAATACATGTTCAATAAAGTGTTAGAAAATTAAAATATTCAGATCTTCTTTGGCCGAATTAAGCATAAAGTTTTCATGTTTATGTCAGAAGTTTAAAACACCATGCAGGTGCATCTACTGTCCGGTTTTTCCTCATTAGTCCTGAATGCGGCGGTAAATAAAGGGAGTCTGGCCTGTAGCTGCTGCTAGCATGGGAGCAGGTAGCACCCACCTCCGACCACAGCTCCGGTGAAAATCACTTTCTTCTTGTGTCGTTTGATAAAATTCCACAGCGATGAAAACATCTTCAAACAGCTGAAAGTTTAAACATTAAAACCTCTGCGTAGTTTATAGCTCCTTATATCACACACATGTTAGCCGACTGCAGCTCAGCATTAGCATTAGCATGCTAGCCGTCGCTCACTAATCCCGCGACAAAACATCCGGTTTGACATTTCAAAATAAAGGGCCACTTTTTAATTCAATCATACTTTGATTTACAGCCTGAGTTTAGATCTTAGAATGACGTCAGATTAAACAGTGCTTTTTAAAATACAAAGGCCGACGTGCCTAGAGGGCGGCCATATTGGATCAGACCACAGTTCAGACAGCTGCTGTCAGAATGAACAGGAGGCGCCTCAGATCTCAGTTTAATCCTAGGAAACATTCAGAGATAAAATTACAATAATCTCTTCCATGTAAAAACCCCTTAAAAGACCAAAACTAATTTAAAACTAAACTTTCAGTTAAATTACACAGATTTATTAAGATTAAAAACTTAAAAAACTGAACTCAAACTGGATGAGATTTGTGCAAAGTTATATATTTTTAAAATTAATATGATAAACACAAAGTTTTATGTTAATATAAGATTATGGTTTACTAATAATTTATATAGTATATTCAGTCTCAGCGATGGACAGGTGTCCCCCGCCTGTCGCCCGTAGACAGCTGGAGATGGATGGATTATTCAGTGTTTTTAACTATTGCTCTTTGATAATAAGCATTAAGATCTATAGAGGAAAATTAGTTGTAAAGTGATTTGCAAAAGAGAGTAAAGTTATTATTGTTTTTTATTTGATTTTATGTTAATTTATTATTAATCCTTTTTCATTGTCAAGATGTAGGTGAATGGTAAAATTAAACTTAAATTTGTCTTCCAAAACTCAAAGATCTGATTCAACGGATGGTCATCCCTCGAGTCATCCGTTGAAATATCAGCTGTGCTGCTGCCATCAACACCTTTGTTTCTAGATGTTGGAGCTTGGCCTGTTTTCCAGTGTAGTCCTGTTTCTCTGACTGTGACTAACTGGATGTGCTCTCTTCATCCTCTGACATGGGAGCTGGCTCGGAGCTCGTCTGCCTGGCTGTGTGTTTCCTGGACGGGGCCGCCTGTGGAGCTGGTTGACAGTTGCCTTTTGTATCTATGCTTCTTTTTCTACGTCTGCTTCTGTCTCCTTGAACCCCAGTGGGCCTCAGCAGATGGCCGCTCACACTGAGCCTGGTTCTGCTGGAGGTTTCTTCCTGTTCAAAGGGAGTTTTTCCTCTCCACTGTCGCTACAAGCATGCTTAGTGTGAGGGATTGCTGAAGAGTCAATGAGTCCATGCAATCAGCTGGTTTTCCTTAGATAGAAAACTTTGAATCAATCTGACTGGATGATCTGGTTGAACTGGAAAGTGACCTGAGATGACATGATGTGAATTGGAGCTATAGAAATAAACTGAATAGAATTGGTTAGGGTAGAAGGTCGACCTCCCCAAGATGGCGCCTGTAATTCCTGCGCCGTGACAGTCAATGCAGTATCCTCTCTTAAAATATGTCTATGTTAAATTACACCTGTTATACTTTCGCTTATTTCTGTATGCAAGCAGAGCTTTTATTTTGTGCATCACTCCACGCCGTTTCCGGTTGAGGCCTTACGTAGTGACGTCAACTTTACGTAAAGGAGCGCCATTGGTCGAGGTCCGTCCCAGATAATCTTCCCCAATTATTAGCGAAGCGAGTTTATTATGGTTCGAAAGTCATAATAATCCTGATTATAGTTTCTTTGCATTCAGACTGTCGCTGTGGAGCGACAGCAGCAGTCTCCATGGCAACAGAAGAGGGTCGTAAAGCCGAGCCAGAGGTCGTTTTTTCTGTAACGGAGGAAGAAATCAACCGTTGGATGTCTAGAGCTTTTGAAATGGTGAGTTTTTAGTCATAAAATTCGCCACCTGCGTTTGTTTCTTTGGCTATTTGACAATTCCATTCTTTGAACAGGAAGTAAACTTCCAGCAGAACCAGGCTCAACTGTTTGAAAAAGATTAATTGGTTACATTTTTAAAAGATAAATCTGGAATTAGTTCAGATAGTTTATTTAGGGATTAAATTGTTTCGTTGTTCCATCAGTCAGCTGTAATGATAATTTCATGACAAACTTTAAATGAAAAGTTTTCTTTAATTAGCTCAGGTTTAGCTTTCTGAAGCTGCCTCCTTGGTCCTGCTGGGAGACTGGATTTGGTCCACTCCGGCCCTGGACTGTCCCTGACACGTCCAAACCGGCCCTGGACTGTCCCTTACACGTCCTAACCGGCCCTGGACTGTCCCTGACACGTCCAAACCGGCCCTGGACTGTCCCTGACACGTCCAAACCGGCCCTGGACTGTCCCTTACACGTCCTAACCGGCCCTGGACTGTCCCTGACACGTCCTAACCGGCCCTGGACTGTCCCTTACACGTCCTAACCGGCCCTGGACGGTCCCTGACACGTCCAAACCGGCCCTGGACTGTCCCTGACACGTCCGCTCTGGATGGTCTCTGACACGTCCAAACCGGCTCTGGATGGTCTCTGACACCCTGACGCTCCAAACCGGCCTGGACTGTCCCTTACACGTCCTAACCGGCCCTGGGACTGTCCCTGACACGTCCAACCGGCCCTGGACTGTCCCTTACACGTCCAAAACCGGCCCTGGGACTGTCCCTTACACGTCCTAACCGGCCCTGGACCTGTCCCTTACACGTCCTAACCGGCCCTGGACTGTCCCTTACACGTCCTAACCGGCCCTGGACGGTCCCTGACACGTCCAAACCGGCCCTGGACTGTCCCTGACACGTCCGCTCTGGATGGTCTCTGACACGTCCAAACCGGCTCTGGATGGTCTCTGACACGTCCACTCCGGCTCTGGACTGTCCCTGACACGTCCAGGCCGGCCCTGGACTGTCCCTGACACGTCCAGGCCGGCCCTGGACTGTCCCTGACACGTCAAAACCGGCCCGGCCCTGGACTGTCCCTGACACGTCCAGGCCGGCCCTGGACTGTCCCTGACACGTCCAAACCGGCCCTGGACTGTCCCTGACACGTCCAAACCGGCCCTGGACTGTCCCTGACACGTCCAAACCGGCCCTGGACTGTCCCTGACACGTCCAAACCGGCCCTGGACTGTCCCTGACACGTCCAGGCCGGCCCTGGACTGTCCCTGACACGTCCAAACCGGCCCTGGACTGTCCCTGACACGTCCAAACCGGCCCTGGACTGTCCCTGACACGTCCAAACCGGCCCTGGACTGTCCCTGACACGTCCAAACCGGCCCTGGACTGTCCCTGACACGTCTTAACCGGCCCTGGACTGTCCCTGACACGTCCAAACCGGCCCTGCACTGTCCCTGACACGTCCAAACCGGCCCTGGACTGTCCCTGACACGTCCAAACCGGCCCTGGACTGTCCCTGACACGTCTTAACCGGCCCTGGACTGTCCCTGACACGTCTTAACCGGCCCTGGACTGTCCCTGACACGTCCAAACCGGCCCTGCACTGTCCCTGACACGTCCAAACCGGCCCTGGACTGTCCCTGACACGTCCAAACCGGCCCTGCACTGTCCCTGACACGTCCAAACCGGCCCTGGACTGTCCCTGACACGTCCAAACCGGCCCTGGACTGTCCCTGACACGTCCAAACCGGCCCTGGACTGTCCCTGACACGTCCAAACCGGCCCTGGACTGTCCCTGACACGTCCAAACCGGCCCTGGACTGTCCCTGACACGTCCAAACCGGCCCTGGACTGTCCCTGACACGTCCAAACCGGCCCTGGACTGTCCCTGACACGTCTTAACCGGCCCTGGACTGTCCCTGACACGTCCAAACCGGCCCTGCACTGTCCCTGACACGTCCAAACCGGCCCTGGACTGTCCCTGACACGTCCAAACCGGCCCTGGACTGTCCCTGACACGTCTTAACCGGCCCTGGACTGTCCCTGACACGTCTTAACCGGCCCTGGACTGTCCCTGACACATCCAAACCGGCCCTGGACTGTCCCTGACACGTCCAAACCGGCCCTGCACTGTCCCTGACACGTCCAAACCGGCCCTGCACTGTCCCTGACACGTCCAAACCGGCCCTGGACTGTCCCTGACACGTCCAAACCGGCCCTGGACTGTCCCTGACACGTCCAAACCGGCCCTGGACTGTCCCTGACACGTCCAAACCGGCCCTGGACTGTCCCTGACACGTCCAAACCGGCCCTGGACTGTCCCTGACACGTCCAAACCGGCCCTGGACTGTCCCTGACACGTCCAAACCGGCCCTGGACTGTCCCTGACACGTCCTAACCGGCCCTGGACTGTCCCTGACACGTCCAAACCGGCCCTGCACTGTCGCTGACACGTCCAAACCGGCCTTGGACCAGATGAAGATAAAAGGGTCTGATCATTTCTGGGTCTTTGTGTCTGCAGGCCAGAGACGCTCTGGACAACGGAGAGGTTCCAGTCGGTTGTCTGATGGTCCACAGGGACCAGGTGGTGGGGAAGGGAAGGAACCAAGTCAACGAGACTAAAAACGTAGGAAACAAAGCGTCTTCTTCTTCTCTCCCTAAAACCACGGACGTCGTCATGACAACGCCCCTGTCTGAAATGTTTCCAGGCGACTCGCCACGCTGAGATGGTCGCTTTGGACCAGGTTCTGGACTGGTGTTATCAGAAGAACCTGGACATGAGGATGGTTTGCCGGCAGACGGTCCTCTACGTGACGGTGGAGCCATGCATCATGTGCGCTGCGGCGCTGCGCCTCGTCAGTATCCTGCATCCGTCGCCGTCTCACCATCAGAGACGCCGACAGGTGACCTGCGGGGAGCTGGGTTCAGGTTCAGGTTGGAGCTGGTAGTCAGTGATGATTAATGAGGCTTCATCAAGCCAATATATTGATGCTGCGCTATTTCTGACAGAATACTGACACCTGCTGGACATTTAAAGACACTACAGGCAGCAGATTGGACAGAATAAACTGAATAGATCTGATGACCTAGAACGACGACATCATATTATTTCATATCTATGTTTAAATTTAAAATATCTTTGATATTTTTAGATGGAGCCAATAAATAATGTAAACATAATGTGACAATTTAAGGGAAGATGTGAATGAGGAAGCTTGTGGACTAGGATTTTAAATCACTTTTAATAAACTAAGAGTCGACTTGAAATTAACTTTAATTCTGATAAGTTGAATAACAGGAAAAGGAAAAGACGAGAAAATTAAAATAAAAAGGTTCCTTTTCCTTTTAGGCTCCAACATTCTGGATCATTTTAATGATAAACTGCAACAGATGAGACATTTTTTTAGCAGCTGCATCATGTTGACAGAAACGTTTAATCAGTCGGTTAGAAACGTCTGGATCGATCACATGACTTTAAGGAAACGACACGCGCACCGATGCAGCGTTTAGCTCTATGGGCTCCACGCACGCAGCCACGCATCGCTGTTAATGGTACCATCCTCCTGGTAATGGTTGGGGTCGGGTGACCTTTGGGGTCGGGGTGACCTCACTGCGCAGATGTCCGGTTGTTGGTCCCTCAGCGGCGCTCAGATATCCCTCTGGTGGCGTACGGCTGCAGGAACGAGCGGTTCGGAGGCTGCGGATCGGTTCTGGACATCTCTACTGCAAACCTTCCCAACAGTGGGACCGCCTTCAGGGTCAGTGACCTCACTTCCTGCATTGAACCGTAGACTTTCTGCTCTAGATCAAGCATGGCGTTTGACAGGATCTTTGTGTGTTTAGTGCGTTTCAGGCCACAGAGCACAGGAAGCTGTGGAGATGCTGAAAACTTTCTACAAACAGGAGAATCCAAATGGTGCGTTACTGATCTACACATTCTGTTTCTAGTTTATCTAAACTATTTTAGATTTCTAAACCAACTAATGGACATTGAGGTCCAATAGGGTGACCTTTAGGTTCTGAATGACCCTTTTATTCTGACCCTGAATCAGATCAGGACCAAGGACAGAACCCAGAACCCGGTCGGTTCTGTCCTCGCTCAGAACCGACCGGGTTCTGTCCTCGCTCAGAACCGACCGGGTTCTGTCCTCGCTAAGAACCGACCGGGTTCTGTCCTCGCTCAGAACCGACCGGGTTCAGTTCTCGGTCAGAACCCGGTCGGTTCTGCCTCGGTGCGGCGCAGCAGCAGAGATTCAGTTTTTCTGAACCTTTTCTTTTTTTACCAACTCTGACTTCACCTGTTTTCATTAAAGGTCCGATTTGTTTGTTCTGTTTGCTTCTAGCTCCAAAACCCAAAACGAGGACGGACTGACCCGCCCAGACGTTCCTGGTTTTCCGGCTGAGTTTGAATCCTGGATTTTATTTCATAATAAAAGGTTTTTATTTAATGACTCTAGTTGGGTTTCTGTGAGTCGGCCAGCAGGGGGAGCTGTTCCACCCTGTTTAGGAACTCTGGGCTGATAATGATGGTCTGAACAGGTCATGTGGTCCCTGGGTTGATGATGTCATCACATGGTTCTGAGACCAACGAATCACGCCATGGAAGCCTGTTCCAGCTTTATTTTCACATGTAGCGTGGCGGATGAGAAGCTCCGCCTCTGATGGCGATCCGTTCGTCTGGTTCTGTTAGAATCATGCAGCGGAACATTCAGAGCAGAACTACACACAACAAAGAACGACAGCCGAGGACGTGGCGGTGGTCGGCGTGGAAACGCCCGGCTCCTCAGGGAGGCTCCGTTCTGCCGGGCCGGTTCTGGTGCCGAGCAGGACGTCATTCACCTTTGACCTTTACTGAGAGGAAGAGAGGGGGGAGAAAAGGTCAAAGGTCAAACATCTTATCGTCCCTCAGCAGGAACATTGATGACAATAAAAATTTATCAATAATCAACTAATAATTGTAAATATTCTATTAAAATGTAGATAAACTAAAACATTCTAATATCACTTCATCTATAGTAGTAATACTAATGGTAGTACTAATGGTAATGGTAGAACTAATGGTAATGGTAATACTAATGATAATGGTAATACTAATGGTAATGGTAATACTAATGGTAATGGTAGTACTAATGGTAATGGTAGAACTAATGGTAATGGTAATACTAATGATAATGGTAGTACTAATGGTAATGGTAGTACAAATGGTAATGGTAGTACTAATGGTAGTACAAATGGTACTGGTAGTACTAATGGTAATACTAATGGTAGTACTAATGGTAGTACTAATGGTAATACTAATGGTAGTACTAATGGTAGTACTAATGGTAATGGTGGTACAAATGGTAGTACTAATGGTAATGGTAGTACTAATGGTAGTACTAATGGTAATGGTAGTACTAATGGTAGTACAAATGGTAATGGTAGTTCTAATGGTAATGGTAGTACAAATGGTAGTAGAAATGGTAATGGTAGTACTAATGGTAATGGTAGTACTAATGGTAATGGTAGTACTAATGGTAGTACTAATGGTAATGGTAGTACTAATGGTAATGGTAATACTAATGATAATGGTAATACTAATGGTAATGATAATACTAATGGTAATGGTAATACTAATGGTAATGGTAGAACTAATGGTAATGGTAATACTAATGGTAATGGTAGTACTAATGGTAGTACTAATGGTAATGGTAGAACTAATGGTAATGGTAATACTAATGATAATGGTAATACTAATGGTAATGGTAATACTAATGGTAATGGTAGAACTAATGGTAATGGTAATACTAATGGTAATGGTAGTACTAATGGTAATGGTAGAACTAATGGTAATGGTAATACTAATGATAATGGTAGTACTAATGGTAATGGTAGTACAAATGGTAATGGTAGTACTAATGGTAATACTAATGGTAGTACTAATGGTAGTACAAATGGTAATGGTAGTACTAATGGTAATACTAATGGTAGTACTAATGGTAGTACTAATGGTAATACTAATGGTAGTACTAATGGTAGTACAAATGGTAATGGTAGTACTAATGGTAGTACTAATGGTAATGGTGGTACAAATGGTAGTACTAATGGTAATGGTAGTACTAATGGTAGTACTAATGGTAATGGTAGTACTAATGGTAGTACAAATGGTAATGGTAGTTCTAATGGTAATGGTAGCACAAATGGTAGTAGAAATGGTAATGGTAGTACTAATGGTAATGGTAGTACTAATGGTAATGGTAGTACTAATGGTAGTACTAATGGTAATGGTAGTACTAATGGTAGTACAAATGGTAATGGTAGTACTAATGGTAATGGTAGTACTAATGGTAGTACTAATGGTAATGGTAGTACTAATGGTAGTACTAATGGTAATGGTAGTACTAATGGTAGTACAAATGGTAATGGTAGTACTAATGGTAATGGTAGTACAAATGGTAGTAGAAATGGTAATGGTAGTACTAATGGTAATGGTAGTACTAATGGTAATGGTAGTACTAATGGTAGTACTAATGGTAATGGTAGTACTAATGGTAATGGTAGTACTAATGGTAATGGTAGTACTAATGGTAGTACTAGTATTACTCAGATTCATTGTTGGATGAACGATCCAAGATGGCTGCCTCCTTGTGAGGCGTCAGTGTTTGTGGGTAAATACTGACGGACGCTTCCATCAGGAAGTCGGTCCCTAAAGATGAGGGTGATGGTGAGGAGCTCCCTGACCTAACGAGTCGTTCTGAAGCAGCGGGTCACCTGTGGCCGTCTGGTCCCAGATGTAGCTGTTCAGGATCTCCCCCAGGACGTACATGACGCAGATCACCGCCGTCATGGCGCTGAAGAAGGCCACCCGAGCGAGCGGGGCGATGCGCTCCAGCACCGGGTACACCCACACCCCCGTCACCTGGTGGACCCAACACGTCCTGGTAGGGGGAGGAAAGAAGGAGCCATTCTGGAATTGTAGATCTATGAAGTGATGTCAATAACCAATCAAACGCAGACAAAGTAAACATGATCAGGAGACGTTCCTCCTGCTGATCCCTAAAAGACGTCTGACGGTCCGAGACTGGGAATGATCGGGGGGGGGGGACTTAAGGTGTAAAGGAAGGAAGGTTAGAGGACAGGAAGTCATGGTGGTTTTGTTCCTCTAATCTGTGGTAATCCTGAAAATCCTCCAATCAATCATCTAGAATCAGAGGTTCTGGTTCTGCGGCCCAAAGGCTCAGCAGAACCAGGATGGGATCAGAGGCTGCTTACCAGAGGATGTATCCCACGCCGAAGCAGCAGACTGCCGCCAGGCCGCAGGAGCGTCTGGGGTAGCTGTGGTGGGTGGTCCGCATCTCGATGATGATGAAGGGGAGGACGGTGGTGTGCTGATGGAGGAGCAGAGGAACCGTTATTGGTTCTGATTGGATCATTTCTCCTCCTCCTACCGACGCGCCGCATCGCTACAAACATTCAGATCCTGCTGCAGTCCGCCTCCGTCATCCCTTCATCCGCCTCTGTCATCCCTGATAGCAAAGGGGGCGGAGCTTAGGGGAGGTTAAACGCCTTTATCACCCAATTGAAGCCAATGTGATGGCATTTGTTGAGGCTGTCCACCAGGGGGCGCCACAGTGTCTGGAATTAGACCCTTACTGTCTCACCACTGATTGATATTTATGGCTGGGAGGTTCTGGTTTGGCTGCTTGAAGGAATTTCCTCTGGTTAGATCTGATTTACAGATTATTGGTGGATTATTGGACAGATCTGTGCCGACATGTTTACCTTTCAGTTTTTAGTCCAGATCAGCTCCTCCTAAAACTGGCTCTAAATGAACTCTTCCTACTGAATGTTTTACCTCCAAACTAAACTAACCCGTTTAATTTGCTTCTGCCTGTTGGACAGAACTCCCTTAAAAACGTGTCGGTTCTCAGTGGACCTTCATCCATCCATCATCCATCCATCCATCATCCATCCAACCATCCATCATCCATCCATCATTCATCCATCCAACCATCCATCCATCCATCCATCCATCCAACCATCATCCATCCATCCATCCATCCAACCATCATCCATCCATCCAACCATCATCCATCCATCATCCATCCATCCATCCATCCATCCA